GCTAAGGCATTTTAAATCAACAACAACCACACATCCACGTTTGTTATTTCTTCCTACATTTCAAAATAGGGCCCCTAGTCTCACACACCCCAAAACTCTGAGTCATCTTTACCACTTTTTTTCTTGTTCCTTATCTAATCAGTCACCAAATTCTGTAGGTTCTTCCATCCAAATTTCTTTGATAAAAACAGGCATGGAAACACAAATGGCTATAATAGTTGTGTCTGACAAGGCTGTTTCCTTCATACAGATTTCTTAATTTTAAAACTAAAATTAAAGGCATTTCTGGGTGTCTGCTTGCAGGGCCTCTCTCTATGCAGCATCTTGCACGCAACACACAGATAATCTTTTACTTTCTGCTAAAATCTTCACCAGCCCTCCAATGCTTCTCAGTGATGGAAACTGCATTGTGTGGAAGGCTCTCTCAGATACCTTGACAGCCTCTCTGGCAGCCTCTTCTTCCATCACTCATGTTAAATCCCCCTGCTCAGCCTAAAGTAATCCCTTACCTTCCCTGAAATCCACTGACATTTTCCTCACCCCAAAGTTTTGCCATAACATTCTTATTTCTTTTCCTATTTTCCCTATTGCATCGACATATTTGTCATTATTTAGCCAGGCCACTAGACCGTGAATTAGCCTGTTCCACCCTAATTGGCCAGGTTTCTTTTTCTCTTTTCTGAACACCCACACATACACACTACATTGGTTGAGGCATTTCCATAACATTTATCACATAAAACCTCCCTGGTAGAATTTATTAAAGTAAATTCCCTGACCCAATTTCTGCATGGGGAAGCGGGTGCTGAGCACTCTGACACTATTTACCCGAGATAGCATGGTATCACCCAGGTTAAGAATTTAGTCCTACAAGAACACCTCCTCCCCTCCCTCCCGCCCCCCGCTCCACACACACACACACACACACACACACACACACACACATACTAACAATTTTTGCACACCAGCAGGGTATCCAAGAAGTCACTTCCATTCTGACACTATCTACCTAGAGACAAAGATAGCATCGAAATCCACCGGTTCAGGATTCAGTCCTATAAGACTGACCTTCCCTCCAGACACAAACACTTCAGATGACAGCAGCAAGCCCGGGCTTCTGTGCTTCTGACCAACAGATTGGAGGTTCCAACAAATCCCTCCACTTGCAAGTGCCAGCTGCAGGTTGTTACCCATGCTTCTAATCAACTGGACATAAGTCAGAGGTTCCCACAACGCCGTCTGTGGGTTCTATTCATGTGCTAGATCGGGTCACAGAACTCAGAGAAACCTGTTAGTTATTAGATCACTGGTTGATTATAAGGGGATATAACTCAGGAACAGCCAGAAGGAAGAGATGCATGAAGTATAGGCAGAGGGGGTAGAGCTTCCATGCCCTCTCCACTGTACCACTCTCCTGGCACCAATACACATTCACCAAACCTGAACCTTCCCGAACGCAATCCTCTTGAGTTTTTATGTTGGCTTCACTGCAGTTCTGATTGATTAAATAATTGCCATTGGTAATTAATTTAACCTCTAACCTCTCTTTTCTGGAGGTCCAGGTGGGACTTAAAATTCTAACCCTCTAATCCAGCCGTGGGCAAACTACGGCCCGTGGGCCGGATCCAGCCTGTTAGAAATGAGTAAAACTATTGAAAAAAAAGACCGTACCCTTTTATGTAATGATGTTTACTTTGAATTTATATTAGTTCACACAAACACTCCATCCATGCTTTTGTTCCGGCCCTCCGGTCCAGTTTAAGAACCCATTGTGGCCCTCGAGTCAAAAAGTTTGCCCATCCCTGCTCTAATCACATGGTTGGTTCCATTGGCAACCAGCCCCATTCCTTTGTGAAGTCCAAAAGTCACCTCATTTAACATAACAAAAAACAACTTTTGCAGGCCTGGCGGGCATGGCTCAGGGGTTGAGTGTTGAACTATGAACCAGGAGGTCATGGTTTGATTCCCAGTCAGGGCACATGCCCGGGTGGTAGGCTCAATCCCCAGTGTGGGGTATGCAGGAAGCAGCTGATCAATGATTCTCTCTCATCATTGATGTTTCTCTCTCTCTCTCTGAAATAAATAAAAATATATTTAAAATATTTTTTTAAGAAAACAACTTTTTCAGTCTCAACCCTTAGAAAATTCCAAGAGTTCCTGAGAGTTGGGAGCCAGGAATTGTGGACAAAAACCAAATATAGATAAGAAATATATTTAGATGATCTGGATGACTCAATATACATTTCTTACAAACCACAATTTCTTATACATCACAATTAGAGATTCCTGAATGCAAGTATTGGTCCTTCCTTACTGTGCTTCTGAGTACTAGATGATCTCCAACTTATTAAAAGCCTTTGATGTGGTCACTGTATATAGGTCCTGAGACAGGGGCGAAAGCGGTGTTAACTATTTCCTGCCAAAAGCATAGACCAATTCTCTATTATTTTTTTTAACCTAAATTTATCATTTTGGAATTGGAAAGCTCTACAGAGATGATTTTAGTTCTAAACTCTTTCTTAACCCATGTGGAAATGAAACCCTGCGGGATAGGGTGGCTGAGCTTAGCACTCATAGCTGGCTTTTGGTAGATTAAGTATGAAGACTCAGGTCTACGTGCTGTTGACAGCAGGAGGAACTTGGTTCCCAAAGCAACCTCCCAAAATGCCTCGTTCAGTGTCCTCCATGCAGACGATACCTTTGCTGACTGACCGCAGTAAAAAGAATGCAGTGTGGTAGAGTAAAAGAGGTAAGTACAGGTTTGGAATCAAACGAGTTGGATTTAGATTCTGGCCTGGTCACTCAATGAGCCGCTCAGATTTTGGTTAATTAACCTCTCGGCTTGTTTCCTCGTCTATGACACGTGGGCAATTATTCCCAGTTCGTGAAGTTGTGTTGGTGAAAAGGTAAAATGTATATGAAGTGATTAAAACCACAACAATTTGAGGTCATTAATATAAAATAATCCTTAGTAAGTTACACATTTGTATATTTAATGTTTCTTAATAATGCATACATTTTCATCTTAGAAGCTTTTTCTGAACTGAGTCAATGAAGAGTGGATTTCTCTTTTTTTCTTTTTTTTTTTTTTTTGCCCTCAGAATGTTGAAATTTTGGGGGTGGCTGTGAGTGTTACTAAGAGTCCACCCAGTTATTTCTTGTAAAAGTTCCTTTTTTTCAACGTATTATCAAGAACCATGTGTTTTGCAAAGTGAATGCTTAGAGCATTCAGTGTTGCTGGGTGACAGAGATAATTTTTTTGACACTTTGCAAAGCTCATTGTTTTTCCTTTTCTGGGTTAATAAAAAACAGCTATTCCATTCGCTTCATAAATACATATCTCTAAAGCTAAGTCTTCTGACAGCTTCTGACTGATCTTGACCTTCAGCTCCTTGTCATGATGCTTCCTTGACTTTCACACCAATTCTATGAGCTCAAACAGAAACAAAGACCCCCTGCCCACAATGGCCTGGCCAAAGGGTCTGGTAGGTAAGGTCCCGGGAGGCTCTTAGGGAGAATAAATGAAGCCCTGGTATCACTTCTAAAACACAGCTGGGCCCTGATAAACGTAGTGTTTTTATGTCAAACTAGAGGCCCAGTGCACGAAATTTGTGCACGAGCAGGGTCCCTAGCGGTTGCTGGATGCCAGCCGGGGCCTCCCTTGCCCCGGCTGCTGCTGGCCAGGGTCTCCCTTCCTGCCGTTAGCCGGTTGGCCCCACCTCCTGGGCAATTTGCATATTAGGCTTTTATTATATAGGATATGAAAGTAAAAGTAAGGTGGTTTAATATAAAATGTGAGAGTCACACTAGATGATTTTAAAAGCCAACTTCTATACGCTAGCATGCTTAATACTGACAGGCTTTTATGAACGATTACAGGAGCTCCTTTCCTGGAATCCCTAACGGATCAGTTCCAGCACTGGGTGACCCAGGGTTCTGTTCAGAGTAAGTAAGCATGCGTCAGAGAAACACGCTCCTGTTGGAAAATGCTGTTTTCCTCTTCATAAAGCTCTTATTAACCCACCAAGAACTACCAAGAAGCATCTCAGAAAGAATATCATGACAGGATGCATGGCCCAGGGACTAAGGCATAATTCCAAGCCTGGGAGTTTACTTACCCAGGTAAGGTGTTTGAGGCACACACGGGAAAGCTAGGCTAGGACTCTGCTAACCAGACTCAGGTAAATTACTAAAGGGAAACAAGTTCTTGAGGTTACTGTCCATGAATGTGAGCATCTGGCCTTTCCACCGATGTCCTTTAGTGCTTGACAGGCACAGTGCTGGGCTGAGTGGCTCTGTACTATGGCTTGTACCACCTAAGTCGGTGTTCTCCACCCGCTGCACAGTGTCATTACTTACCAGAACCACTTTAATTAATCCTGATGCCCCAGCCATTCTCATGTAACCCAGCTGAGGTGCAGCTGGAACATTTGGATTTTTTTTTTTTTTAAAAGCTTTTCCTGTGATTCATTCCAGTGTGTGGCCAGCCCCAGACATAGATGTAAGACCTTCTAGCAAACCTTCCTTTTAAAATCCACCGCCCTATCATGTCGCTTCCTGGCGCTTGGTTTCCGTCCGAATTTCTCCCTGCAGTCAGACTAGACGAATCCCAAAGTGGAATTCACCAGCCCGGGTGCTCCTGGGAAATAAGGAAAGCGCTGGCAGGAAAGCGGTTCCGCCCAAACCTGGGCTGAGCAACAGTCCCTCCCCGCTGTGTTGCTCCACCTGCTGCTTACTTCCTTTCACACTTGCTGTTCTCCAATTGCCAAGCGCCCTGGAAGACTACGCGCCGCGCCCTTGTCTCTCCTGCGCTCTTGTTGGCACCGGACAGGCCCCCTAGTAGCAGGAACCACGTCCCTTGGGGAGGGGGGGGACCTCCTTCTCAGCTCCAAGCCTCGGAATCAGCACCGCGCGCGCCTGCCGCTCAGCTTTGCAGCACCAGGGCGCCTAAGGTCCTCTGATCAGGTTCCTGGGGCGCCAAGCCTGGCCGCTTAAAACACACCCCTCTCCTCTGTTCCCCCCAATATTTTTGTTTACCTAGAAAGCAGATCTTTACTTTTCCGGATGGCAGCTCGTCGCAGGCCCCACCCGAGCAAAGGGGAAAAGTCCTAGCTCCCGGCTCCAGAGACCTGGTCTCCGGGCCCAGGACCCCTGGTCCACAGTCAAGGGTCCCCAAGGGGCCAGTGACGCCAGCGCCCCCGCCCTGGCTCCGCCCAGCACCTGCCCCGGGCAAACCCCCGTCTCCAGCCGCTCTTTGCCCCACCCTTTGGTGATTCAGAGCCCTGGAACCACCCAGGGCGCTAATTTAAATTGATTTGCAGGACAACTGCGCTCCGGCTACCCACAGCTGGACGCGGGAGCCCGCTGGATCTCTTCGTGGAGGCTGCCGAGTGCGGGCGCTGGGTCCCCGTCGCCGCGCCATGCGTCCCGCCCGGAGGGGCGCCCCCGCAGTGCTGCGCCCCCCCGGCTGGCTGACCCTGTCGCTGCTGCCGCCGCTGCTGTTGCTGTTGTGTCCACACGCGGCGCGGGGTGAGTGGGGGCCGGGGACCCAGCCCAGCGGGGTGAGCCCTTAGCCTGAGTGGGAGGGGCTGGGTCAGTCTCCATGACAACAGCAAAGTCTGGGGCCCCGGGAAGGTGAAGGGTGTGGGCGTCGGTACTCCCTACCTTTAAAGATGAGAGCTCCCGCCCTAACTGGTTTGGCTCAGTGGATAGAGCGTTGGCCTGCGGACTGAAGGGTCCAGGTTCGATTCCGGCCAAGAGCATGTACCTTAGTTAAGGGCACATCCCCAGTAGGCGGTGTGCAGGAGGCAGCTGATCAATGTTTCTAACTCTCTATCTCTCTCCTTTCCTCTCTGTAAAAAAGCCAATGAAATATATATATATATATATATATATATATATATATATATATATATATATAAAGTTAGCTATTAGGGGTCTTGCTGTGCTGGCACGGCTGTAGGAGTGACTTTAGGAGTGAGGCTGGATGGCTGAGGAAGCACCCGCTGAGTTTGCAGAGCAGCCAACACTGGGAAGCAGAGAGGCAGGGCTGGGCTGGAGGGATTGTCAACCCCCCAACATCTCTTCAGGGTGGGAGGCCACACAACCGACCACGCGGGCCCCTAACCAGAGTCCAGGGATGTGCAGCACCTGGAGCTGCACATCTCCAGGTGTCACGTTCCAACCCGGACCCAGTCTTTATTCGGCGCCTAGCAACCGTATCTAAGTGGAGAGAAATACTAAACCACTTCAAAAAATAACGGAGAGGAGGGGTTTATTCTCGACTTATTTTAGCCTTGAATTCATCGTCAAGATTGGAAGCCCAGCAAGTTGTTGGGATGTCGTCAGTCGGCACTGGATCGAAATGCTACGTGTGTATCGAAAGCCATGGCTGCTTCCCTTTGCGCGGGGAAGGGAATGTTGCTATCAATTGAAAAGTGGTCTTTTTTTAGTTGCAGTTTTTTCATCTCTAGGTGGCTGTGGTATCCCCGCCGATGATGTACCTAATGCTACACCAGAATTGGAAAATCTTACAACTTTTCCTGAAGGATTCATAGTAGGATACTATTGCAATCAAGGTTATGTGAAAATTAAGGGAATGCAGAGCGGAAAACACTGCCTTCCGAACGGTGAATGGACGAAGCTGGCACCATTTTGTAACCGTAAGTTCTTCCTTTCTTTTTAGAAGAGGGTGGGGGCCCTGGCTGGTGTGGCTCAGTTGTTGGCGCTTCCTCCCATGCACCAAGAGGTAGCTGGTTGGATTCACAGTGAGGCCACATGCCAGGGTTGCGGGCTCAGTGCCAGTAGGGGATGTGCAGGAAGCAGCTCATTCCATTTGTTTTTCTCTCATTGGTGTTTCTCTCTCTCTCCCTCTCCCTTCTCCTCTCTCTAAAAATATTTTAGAAATCAATAAAAGCATATTTTTTAAAAGTTATGGGAATGGAATGTATCCTCTTAAGGTGAACTATATCCCTCTTCCCAGGGACTGGCAATTGATACTTTTCTGGCATTGTTACACCCCAGGATATACCTGTTAGCACTTCACACTCCAGCTGGTTAATGGTATTACTTCCAGGAATAGATCCTGCTTCTTCATTAACAACCCCTTCCTGCTCCCCACACGGTATCTCCTGAACTGACGAACAGAAAATAGCCAATAGTTCCTGCTGTTGTTTAGGGAATAAATTCAATATGGACATGTTGGGTAATTGCATTGAGACACACAGTATGGGTGCTCTGTTTGAAATTTGATTTCCTAAAGAAGGACTTCCCAAGTACAACACTGGGGCGCCACTTTTACAATGTCACTATCTGTACCTCAAAACCTACGGATGGCCCAATAGTAGTTTTGATATATACAAGAAGGTATAAAGATAAGATTTGATTCCTGCCTTTGAACAAGTTTGGAGCGTTGGAAGCTACATACACATAGAAACTGCCACCACAAGTATTTTTTTTAATGGGCTTTAACTTTTTTAAAAACTTATCTGTGATAGAAGGCAGTAGGTTGAAGGACATAAGCCTTTGCACATGTATCCTGTTAGAGTTTATAACCCTACCACCTATGTTACTTTATTTACTCCTCCAGACAATTCCAGGTGAGTAGGCACACATCCTCATTTCACAGTTGAGAAAACAGGCCCTGAGACGTTAACTCTCTTGAGATCAGCAGCTCTTCTGCAGAAGAGCCCGGGTTCAAACTTGAGTATTTTGACAATAAATCCAACTGTCCCATAGCTCCATAAAGTCATGTTTGCCCAGCTGGTTCGAGTTTGTAAATACTTGAATGTACACATTGGGTCCTCTGATCCTTGCCTCAGTAGGTTGCTGTGGGATTGGATGAGTTTGCTTGCAGGAAATGTTTAGAAGTATCCCACAAATATTAGCTGTTATTGTTACTATTGTTGCCCTCGACCAGGACATTAGCCCAGGGGTGTGGGAATATTGGTTTTTCATCTACCCCTGTGCTACATGGGGCAGGCAGGGCAAGGCAACCTGCATGTATTGACTCAGTGCCAGAACTGCGCCATGCAACTTAAACAGGTTATATTCTTCAAATTGTGGGCCTCGTGATATCTACTTCACAGGCCTTTAGTCATTAGGAAACAAAAGCATACATTTGAATATGCTTGATGCTCTATAAATGCCCTATTGATATTAATATAGCTAAGTGCCAATGTGCAAGGAAGTATGCAAAAGGAGGTGATATAAAGACCAGATAATTCTAATAATTAAATATAGATTGTAAAATAAAGTGATATTACTCTTTGTTGTTGTTGGTTTGGTAATACTTTTAGGTACCTGTAGTCTTCCACCCAAGGTACGTTATGGAGTTATGAAAGATATTTTTATCTCAGTGAGTTATCGCCCAGCGGGTTTCGTTGTGGAATATGATTGTAATCCAGGCTACGAAAGGAACCATTCCGTATCAGCGCAAGTAACTTGCCTTCAGAATTATACGTGGAGCACACCAGAAGTATTTTGCTATAGTGAGTATAATTTTAAAGAATATTCTTACTTGTATGGTATTTGGGAAAATAGTATTTAATCCTTTATTCATGCTGGAAGTCTGTGTGTACATATTATTATTTGGAATGATTTTTTTTAAAAAAAGAATGATTAGAGTCATCTATAAAAGGTTAATATGCAAAGTGTCCCCTTGGGAGTTTGACCCGGAGACCGGGAGTTCACTCGCTTGCTATGATGTGCGCTGACACCAGGGGGTGGTGCAGAATGAAGGAAGGCCCTGGCCAGCAGCCGGAAAGCCCTGATCGGCCCTGATCAGCCCTAATCAGCCCTGATTGCCAGCCAGGCCTAGGGACCGTACCCCTGCATGATTTTCATGTATCTGACCTCTAGTTTTATTATAATTAGGCAAACTAAATACTTGAGAGAGATAAGAATATTAATTGATGCACAGATTTCACATTTAATTAGTTTAAGATTACCATAAATGAAATGAAAGAAGTATATATTCCTAAATAGGCTGCTTTATTGAAACTTATAAAATGACTGTAGGATTTAAACAGACTCAGGATAAGAGATTACCAGTGGTTCAGATGATGAATTTGCATAGATGTGCCTAATAACTTAAAAAAAAATTTCTACTGCCTTCTAGAAAGATCATGTCCTGATCCTGGACAAATAGAAAATGGTCATATCAGTATACCAACTGACATATTATTTGCCTCAGACATCTACTTCTCATGTAACCCAGGGTAAGTTTTTGCATACTAACCATTCTATATTTAACAAATGAAAAAACAAATTAGAATTTAAGATGGAGATTTTTAGAAGTATGGACAGTGTTCACAAGCTAGTAGCAATAAAACAATCCCTCTGCTCAAAGGTTTTCCTCATAAGCTTATCACAGTTAAATTTAGTAAAATGGGCTAAGAAAGGAAGATGTTTTATACCACCAAATTCTCTAAATTCTTAGGTTTCGGTACATGTGATTCATTATAAAAATTTAAATGTCATTGATAAAGGAAATTACTTGCAGAAATTAAATGCAAGATTTAAATGAAACCAGTCTTTAATTTACCTAAATAATAAATTTGTATATGTCATGTATTTATTTATTTGTTTTTCTTTATTGATTAAGGTATTACATATGTGTTCTTATTCCCCCATAATCCCCCCACCCCCTCACTCATGCCTTCACTCCTCCTCGTGTCCGTGTCCATCGGTTAGGCTTATATGTGTGCATACAGGTCCTTTGGTTGATCTCTCCCCCTCACCCCCACCCTCCCCTACCTTCCCTCTGAGGTCTGATCAATGCTTCTCTGTCTCTGTTTTTGTTCGTCAGTTTATGTTGTTCATTATATTCCACAAATGAGTGAGATCATGTTAATATGTTTTTTACTTGCAAAGAATCTTACAAAATATCTTAGGTTAAAAACATGTAGTTCTAGTGTTACAATATCATCTGACCAAGGTTTTTTATAAGTTCTCTATTTAGAGAAAAGGGACTCACTCACTGAATAATATAAGTGTCTAAGATACTGCTGAAAACTTTATATTCATTTTCTCATTTAATATCTGCAAATTGAATTATGATATTTTACTCTGTGTGTATGTCCATTTTTATAAAATAATATCAGTATCACTTATGTCCTATGCTAAACACAGATATTTAGATCATTAATATCAAATCTGGGGGTACTTTGAACCCTTTAAGTGTAAGTGTATTCTATTATTCTATGAAGCCCATTTTGATCTTTGAGAACTCAGAAATAGAAAATATTCAAGCATCTATATAATTTTAAGATGTTTTAAAATACTTTAATATTTTCTGAAATGTGCTCCACCCAAATAAGAAATGTTTTGCATGTCTTATAATTGTTTATCCTTTGGATGTCACTTTTTTTAATTTAATTTTTTTCTTTTTCTTTAAACTACCATACGAACTTTTATCAACTATTGTTTTGTCTCCATCTACTGGTATAGTGAATATTTTTAGATGATATTCTGGAGAATTTAAGAGAACTCAACTTTTCTTGTCCTCTCATTATTTAGGTACAAATTAGTTGGTGAAAATTCTACTTTCTGTTATTATAAAGGAAAAGATATGGCTTGGGCTGATCCATTTCCAGAGTGCCAAGGTAAGACTGAAAGAATCTAAGCACTCACGTTGTGGGCCTAAATTATCAATGACAAATTACTTTCTGTGCGTTAAGAATTATTCACAGTGTATATCTATAGTACCCTCACCTTCTAATGTGTGTCTGAGCTAATTTAAAGACTTTTATCTGTAATTCTCCTTAATTTATTACCTTTGGAGATAAAGCATTAAAAACAAACTGAAGTTTGTGTTGTGGTTAGTCATTTATTATCTTGCCATTTCTCCAACCAGTCAGACAAAATAGGGTGGGGGAGGAGCCCTCAATGGATTCATCCCGTCAGCCCTGAAAATCCCCCATCTAGTGGAGAGAGGCACTCCCAGAGGAGGGCCAAGAACCACCTTTTAAAGTGTGGGAGCTAGGGCAGGAGTTCCACTTGCCTGAGTTCAATGATACTGCAATCAGTATCATTGCAATGGCCTCCAGCCTTCATTCTTGTACTCTATTACTGTTTCATCTATACTCTACCCAGAGTTATCCATCTGAAACACCAGCATGACTTGTCTTTCCTTTGGATAGCTTGCTGGGGCTGACCAGCAGACCCCGAGCAATGGATGAATGATTCCTCTGACACAGGATTGCTGTGAAAGAGAGGGCTAAGGGACTGCCTGGCTAAAGGAACCAGACAGCCTCGATCGCCTGCCTGGTCAGGCTTTTATTGTGACAGCAGTTTGAGATGAAGTTTATCTTTTACATACAATCAGTAGTGTAGGTAATCTTGGGAGAACACATGTGTTTGCAGTGTCCTTTAAGCAAGGACACCCAAAGATTAAGCATAAAGATTCCTGTAAACACCCGGGGGTCTGCACATGCACAGACTTGTTTGGAAAGGTTAAGGAATAATTAGGGGTGCCATAAACAGGCCGCCTTCAGCATGCTTCCCTTTTCTCTGTAAGGGAATGTCCTCCTTACAGACTTTCCAACCAAGTCTCATGTGCTCCCCAACATAGCTTATTAGTGTCTCCTCCTCACTTACAAAGTCCAAACTTCTTGGTATAATGTACAGGCTGGGCATGGTCTACCTACTTATCCATGCTCATGTCAGGCCCTCGTACTTTATGCTCTACCCACACAGACTACAGTAGTTTTCTGTGTACCTCATGCTCTTCATGACCCCACATCATTCCTGTGCTGCTAACTCTGCCTGGTATGTTCCTTCTTTGCTTGATTGATTGGGTTTTTGTTTTTCCTGCTTAGTATGGGTCTGCTCTGATTGTCTTTCTAGAAGCTTTGTCTGACCTTCCAAGCTGGTTAACTGTCCTTCTCTCTTTCCACACCACTGTGCATGCTTTTGTGTTAACCCTCACCATTTTGTAATGAAATTACATCTTTAAATCTCTTTCCCTGCTATATTTGAAGACATAGGAATGATATCTTATTCTGTTTTGTACCTCTCGATGCAGGACAATGCCTGGTGTGTATTAGGTGCTCAAAAAAAATGTGTGAACTGAACTGATAGTGATATGGTAATCACCACATACCCTAGCCTAGTGTAAATCAGATTACTCCAATTTGCTCCTTGCTTTGATTAATGGCCTAAAAGTAATTTAGAAAGCTGTTAGCATTCTCTGGGTACATATGGACATTTGGTGTAATATAATTTGATGTATACATGGGATCACATTACTTCCCTGCTTAAATAAAAGAGAGGAACAACATCATGGCTCTACAGAATGTGGTATCACTGAACCTTTTTTGGGGGGCATCTTCCAGGGGTAGGCCTCTGTTTATTATGTAACTAGAGTAATTCTGCTTGTAAATGTTTTACACACTCAGCTGCTTGATAAGGTTTGCTTTAAATAAAAGGCTGTCAGTACATGCTTAAAGATTTGTATCCTAAATGTCAAAATCAAAGTGGCACATTTAAGATCTTTTGGTCTATCCCAATGACCTATTCCTATTTCCCAAGTATGCTAGTTGAATACCCAGTGTCTTTCATTTGATATCATTTCTTCAAGGAATGACAGCAATGCCCTTTTCTCAGTTCTGTTTTAGAATAAGGGTGCAACCTAGGTTTAAACTCAAGTTCCATTTACTTCCTAAGGTCTCTGTCCTGTTTTTTTGGCCCCTGAACTCCTTTGCTTTTTCCACAACCTGTTTGATGGATAACGTGTGCAAACTTAATTGTAATTTTTGTTTTACACGTGTGTTCTAAATCTTATTACAGTCCTGTGCTGCATAATGACATTCTAGTCAATGATGGACTGCGTTTACAATGGTGGTTTCATCCTAAATAATAAAAGGCCAGAGGTGTCACGACCAGAAGACCAGAGATCAGACCACCACAGCCCCTTGCATGGCTGGCCCTACCCCCAAGCAAGTGGTTAGGGGCCATCAGGCAGGCAGGCAGAATAGTTAGGTTAGGAGTGATCAAGTAGGCAGACCAGTGGTTAGGGACAATCAGGTAGGCAGGCCAGCTGTTAGGGGAGATCAGGTAGGCAGACAGCCCCTCGCTGGGCTGGCCCCGCCCCCAAGCAAGTGGTTAGGGGCAATTAGGCAGGCAGGCAGAGTGGTTAGGGGCAATCAGGTAGGCAGACGGCCCCTTGCAGGGCTGGTCCCTCCCCTCCCCAGCAAAGAAAGAGGGAGACCCAGGCCAGCCAAGCCATCGCACCCCAGCCTGTCGCCTGCAGAGGGAGGCCACCGGTGGCAGGGGAGGGCGAGCAGCGCTGCACAGATGGCAAGCAGTGGCAGCAGCGGGGGTGGGGCCAGCTGCCTGCAGTGGGGTGTGTGGGGGGGGGGGGGGGGAAGAAAGCCCTGATAGGCCCTAATCTCAGGCCAGGCCTATCTGAGGGGTCCCGGATTGTGAGAGGGTGCAGGCCGGGCTGAGGGACCCCCAAGTGCATGAATTTTCGTGCACCAGGCCTTTAGTAGGATTATAATGGAGCCTGGGTGTGCAGTAGGTAGCCCGTCTAGGTTTGAGTAAGTGCACTCTCTGATGCTCCTATCATGACGAAACTGCACAACAACGCCTTTCTCAGATCTTATCTCCATTGTTAATCTACACATGACTATCTCTATAACTTAGCATTCATGTTTTACAGCATTTGTATCCCAAACTCTAAATATACTACCTATTACTTAATAGGTATGTGTAAGCATCCCTCACTGATAATGCTAAATTTAGAAAAATGGTAGATTTTAATCTTTTTAAATAAAATGCTTAACATATTTTGGTCTTACGTATCGTAAAAATACAGCTATGTTTCATTAAGTTAAAATACATGGAAGTTTTTCCAAATAATTTTTTGTCCAGAGCCACCAGAAATTAGCAATGGAATAATTCAAAGGCAACAGAGCTCTTATCAATATAGACTTTCCATTAGCAGATTAGGTACTACAAAGGCTTCTTCCTAATTGGAGACAACTCTATTTATTTCATTGTAAAGTAAGAATTGGCCAAGGAAAACGGAGTGGCCTGAATGCAAAGCTAATCAGTTTACACTGCTATATTTTTACTGTCTGGTCCACGTATGGGTTCAGAGATTCTATGCACTCCCTGAGAAAGAATTGTTGTACATAAGCATATTTGCATTTTTCTGGGGAGCACAATTTTTCATCAGATTTTCAGAGGGTTTTAAAAAGGAAATTTTATATACTTACATATATGAAAATATATACACATATACATTTATAGACATACATATGTGCCCCATGTTTTTAGCAAATTAGCTTAAATTTGCTATTGCTATTTTTTTTAATTTTAAAATTATTCCCATCCCCACCCCCCCTTTTTTTGGCAACCATCATTTTGTTCTCTATATCTATTGGTTTGTTTCTGTTTTGTTTATTCATTTGTCTTGTTTTATTTTTCAAATTCCACATATAAGTGAAATCATAGGGTATTTGTCTTTCATTTACTTAGCATAATGTAGGTCCATCCATGCTGTTGCAAATGAAAAGATTTTGTTTTTTTATGGCTAAATAATATTCATACACACACACACACACACACACACACACACACACACACATCACATCCTCTTCATCCATTCACCTATTAATGGATACCTAGGTTGCTTCTATATCTTGGCCATTACTAATTATGATGCAATAAACATAGAGTTGCATATACCTTTTCAAATTAATGTTTTATTTTTCTTCAGATAAATATTCAGAAATGGAATTGCTGGCTCATATGACAGATCTATTTTTAATGGTTTGATGAATCTCCATACTGTTTTCCAAAGTTGCTGCACTACCTTACAATCCTACCAACAGTGCACAAGGGTTCCCTTTTTTCCACTCTTCTCCAGCACTTTTTTCCCCCAGCACTTGTTATTTGTTGATTTAGTGATGATAGCCATTCTGCCCATTGTGAGATAACATCTCATTGTGGTTTTAATTTGTATTTTCCTGATGAACAGTGATGTTGAGCATCATTTTACATGTATGTTGGCGATCTGTATGTTCTCTTTGGAGAAGTTTCTATCTAGGTCCTTTGCCTATTATTTAATTGGATTGTTTGGTTTTATGGTGTTAGGTTGTATGAGTTTATAATGAATTTTGAATATTAAACCCTTATTGGATGTATCAATTGCTGGTATCTTCTCCCATTCAATGGGTTGTCTGTTGATTTTGTCGATGGTTTCCTTTGCTGTGTGTGCAACATTTTAGTTTGATGTAGTCATATTTGCTTTATTGTTTTGTTTTGTTTCCCTTGCCTAAGGAGACATATCCAAAAAAATATTGTTAAGAATGGTGTCAAAAAGTTCACTGCTTATGTTTTGTTCTATAAGTCTTGCAGTTTCAAGTCTTACACATAAATCTTTAATCCATCTTGAGTTTATTTTTGTATATGGTGTAAGAAAGTGGTCCAGTTTTATTATTATTTTTTGCATGTATCTGTTCGGGTTTCCCTATAGCACTATTGAATAGACTGCCTTTACTTTTATTTAGTTTTAATCTTTATTGAAAGTATTACAGATGCCCCCCCCCTTTTTCCCCTATTGACCTCTTCTAGCCCACCCTGTCCCCTTCCCCCCAGGCCCTCACCACCCTATTGTCTGTCCATGGGCTATGCATATATGCATACAAGTTCTTTGGTTGATCTTTGCCCATCCACCCACTCACCCCTGCCTTCCCTCTGAGATTTAACACTCTGTTCCACGCGTCTATGTCTCTGGACCTATACAAAATGAACAGACTGTCTTTAACCAATTGTATATCCTTGCCTCCTTTTTGTAAATTAATTCACCGTATTAATGAGTATTTACTTCTGGGCTCTCCATTTTATTCCATCACTTTATAGGCCAGAACATATTGTTTGGTTATTATAGATTTATAGTATAGTTTTATATCAGAGAGTGTGATACCTCCCACCTTGTTCTTTCTCAAAATTTCTTTGGTTATTTGGGGTCTTTTGTGATTCCATATAAATTTCAAGATTAGTTGGAAACTCAAACAAATAATAAAAGCACGGAGTCACAAAAAAATGTAAAACATGAAAATACTAGATAATATGAAGAACAGTGACAAGGATAAATGAATACTGAAAGAATAAATGCAACACCTTGTGGGGTTTGAATTGTATGTGAATACAGACATGCTGTAGCAATAAAACAAAAGACAAGAAGGGGTAACTTCAATTTAAAGGTTCCCAGGTTTCAGCAGTCCTAAAAAGTAGTAAAAGAGTTCATCTGCATAATTGACTTATAGTATAATACTGTAATCTCTAGGGTTGTCTTGAAAATAATAATAAAAGAATATAAAAATTACAAGCTAACAAAGGAATTATAAGGAATACTTAATTCAAAAAGCAATAAGAACGAAGGAGTGACAAAAGGAAACATAAAATAAATCCTGGCCAGGTAGCTCAGTTGATTAGAGCATCATCCAGATACACCAAGGTTGCAGGTTTGATCCCCAGTCAGGGTACATACACGAATCAACCAATGAATGCATTAATAAGTGCAACAACAAATCTATGTTTCTCTCTCTCTCCTTCTCTTTCTTTCTAAAAAATCAATTTAAAAAGGGAAACATAAAATAAATGGATGGAATAGAATATTGATAGTAATGTGTTTGATCTAAACCTAATTGTATCAGTTGATTACATTGTGATTTGACTAATATTGTCAGACTAGATTAATAAAGTAAAAGTGAACTATTTGCTATTTATAAGAGCCACAATTTAATGATAAGAATACTGAATAGTTGAAAGTTAAGGATGGAAAAAATATGCTATGCAAACAATTACCAGAAAATAAAAAGCTGTATAACTCTATTAGTATCCAAGTATACTTTATAATAAAACAGTTAATCACCATAAAGAGGTCAGTTCAACAGGAATAGATCACAATCTGAAATCTATGTGCCCTTGGAAAAATAGCTTCAATCTCTATATAGCAGAGATGGGCAGAAAGAAAAAGAGACAAATCCACACAATTATAGTCTGAGAATTCCACATCTTTCTCTCAATAGGTAACCAAAAATCAGAATATAGAAGACACGACCAACAATTAAACTTTAAAAATAACGGATCAGGTATTGAACCCCTAAGTGTTGTTTTTAAATATACATGGAATACTGACAATATGCTGGGCTCTAAAACGCCATGCATTTAAGAAGATTGAAATTACTCAGAGCATGCTTTCTGACCCCAGTGGAATTAGACAATCAAATAAAAAGATAACTAGAAAAGTAACTTCCAGGAAATTTAAACTGCAGTACTACAAAGTCCTTTGGATCCAAAATGAGATCTTGGAAGAACAAAATAAATTGTATAGATGTTGGCCTTTAGACGAAAAGTCCCTATGAAAACTTTACTTACCCTCATGATAAAACCTACCATTTTCTGAGTGCCTGCCAAGGGCCGTGTTATCTGCTATGTATTGTACTTGTTATCCCTGGGGGAGCTTTGACTGCCAAGGGCCATTTGGATATTGATAACATCATTCATGGGCCACACAAAATTATCAGCTTTAAAATTAGCCTGCTATATTTGGTCAAACACTTAATTAACTCACCCCTAATGCTTTGGCAGGACCAGACCAAATAATTTCCTGGGCCTTATTCGGCCTGCAGGCAGGAGGTTCCCCACCCCTGAAATAGCATCCTATGCGGTCGGTAAAGGATGTAGAAATACATGACACAACATCTGAACGCCTAGAGCAGGATGTGTGCCGATGCTGTTGGCAGGAGTAGTGCTGGATGATGTAACACGTGGCTTCAGGGACAGACTGTGTGAAATAACTCACCCAAATTATTTCCCTTATCCCTTACAGTAAGGTGACACAGTCTGCTCTGTTTTTACTCTCATTTTATATGCGAGGAAACCGAAGTTCAGAGGGATTAGAAAACTTGGTCTCTAGGATGCAGTGCAAACAGGCCTAAGCACTATTCAGTTCTGCCTTAAGAGGGCTTTTGCATACGCAATCTGGAAAATATTATGCTAAGTGAAATAAGCCAAATGGAGAAAGACAAATATCACATGAGCTCACTTATTTGTGGAACCTAATGAACAAAAGGAATTGGCCAACAAAATAAGACTGGGAGCAGGGAAGCTTGGGACAGATTGACATACCTCGATGTGGGGTTTGGGGGACAAGAAGAGATAAACCAAAAACTTATGTAGGTATATGCATAGCCCATGGACACAGGCAATAGAGTGGTAAAGACCTGGGGGGAGGGAAGGGGAGGGAGGAGGGGGAAGAAGGGTGAGAAAATAGGAGATCTCTGTAATACTATCAAAAATTATATTTAAAAGAAAACACAGTTAAATGGTCCTGAAGACCTAAAATTTTACTATGTTGTTATTTGTGATTCTCAGAATAAGATCTTAACTGAAGTTGTGCTTTAGACATGTTAGCTCACCTAAAAGCTAAAGAGGAGCTAATCTGATGTGTGTACAGTTGGTAGCCAGTACAAGAAGAGAAAAAAGGGGGAGTTGTTTTATTCTGACTTCATGTCTTTAAAAAAGAAGTGAAACGAGAGACGTTTCCAAGGTCACTACCATATCCTGTGAGCTGCAGAAAACAGAACTCTGCGATTATCTCTGTAGTGATCATCTCTATCGGTCCAATGTTTGCACCCTGCTGTTCTTTGGTCTTGGCATGAGCAAAGGAAGACGATGCAAGAGAGAAAATATCTTTATTTGGGGTGTGTCACAGAATGAGATCACTGCCGACTCGGACTTCTGTTTCCTTTCTTCACACAGAGAACAGTTTCGGTATCGCAGTACTGCTTTTGGTGTATTTATTGCCTACCGGTATAATTTATGTGGAAGCAAAAACAGTGTAGCATTTTACATCCTTGGGAAATACACGAGACTTGGATGACTAAATGTCATGTTTAGGGGTTTGTGGGGCGAGAAAGAGAAGAGTCATTGAATTAGCAATGGGTTCCTAAATCTTCAGAGCATTATTTTGCTAATGTGTTAAAAACATTTTTCCTCCACAGAAATTCCTACAACTCCTCAGAAACCCACCACGACAGATGCTCAAGGCACCAAAGCCCCATCATCGCATCAGAAACCCACCACAGTAAAGGTTCCAGCTACCGAGCCCCCACCAGCTCCTCAAAAACACACCACAGTAAATGTTCCAGGTACAGAGTCCCCATCAACTCCTCCGAAACCGACCACAGTAAATGTTCCAGCTACCAAGCCCCCATCAGCTCTTCAAAAACCCACCACAGTAAATGTTCCAGCTACAAAGCCCCCACCAGCTCTTAAAAAACCCACCACAGCAAATGTTCCAGGTACAGAGTCCCCATCAACTCCTCAAAAACACACCATCATAAATGTTCCAGCTACAAAGCCCCCATCAACTCCTCAAAAACCCACCACAGTAAATACTCCAGCTACAGAAGCCCCATCAACTCCTCAGAAACCCACCACAGTAAATGTTCCAGCTACAAAGTCCCCATCAGCTCCTCAAAAACACACCATAGTAAATGTTCCAGCTACAGAAGCCACACCAACTCTTCAGAATCTCACTACAAGAAATTCTTCAACTACAAAAGCCCTACTAATTCCTCAGAAACCCAACTTGACTGTTCTAGCTATGGATGCCCCACCAACTTCTCAGAAACCTCTCACAGCCAATGATTCAGCCACAATAGCCAAACTATCTCCTGTCTCAAATGTTCTATCTACAGAGACCCAACTAACAGTCCAGACTCTCATGACAAATTCTTCTGCTACACGAGCCACACCAAAACCCCAGAGCTTCACCACAGCAAAAGCTTCCTATACACAGAGTCTCCCAGTAACACAAAAATTCACTGCGGGACATGCCCCAATGACTAAGGGTCTCCATACCACACAAAGATTGACATCTGCTCATATTGCAGCCACACCGAATCAAGCTGATTTCACGACACCAAGCACCTCGAAAGGAAGTGGACTCCTGAAAACAGGTGAGCTGACACCGCTCTGGTTCCAGAACATATATGGATCTAAAGTGCTATGGCGGCAAATGTCAACTTGACCAGGATTACGTAATTAAATAATCTGGGATCTGTTGTAGTCAGAGTTGTTTTCATACTCATGTTTTGGATTTTCTTCCGAGGCAGAGTTGGATTGTGGTTAGGGCAAATCTTTAAAAAAGGAAACATTTTGCAATGATATAGAAAAAAGGTGTGGCCCCATAAAAAACGATGCTAAGTTAAGGTTGCTGAAGAAATTCTGTTTTCTAGATTAGCATTAGGGAGTCGTTGAATTTTTCAAGACTCTTCCTAGAACCAAATAGATGCCATCCTTAAAGTTGATTTCTGGTTCATTGACAGAGACCTGTCCCTCAAGCATGCTAAAAGCTCTCTCCAGATTCCCTAGAGTTGCTAATTTGGTAAAGCAGCTCAACAGTGTCTTCTAAGTAATTGAAAACACAGTTCTTTGAATGAGTGCATAATAATGCAGGGCTCTTTAAATAAAGGCACTTGAAGTAGAATGTGCTATAGACTTTAGAACTACCTGTTGAGTGAATACATGAAACCCATTTTACTAATTAATGCTGCTTCAGACCACTAGGATGTCTTCTTGTCCCACGTCTTGCCTAATGTACAGCCATTTTTTAAAAATATATATTTTATTGATTTTTACAGAGAGAAAGGGAGAGGGATAGAGAGTTAGAAACATCGATCAGCTGCCTCCTGCACATCAACTATGGGGATGTGCCCGCAACCAAGGTACATGCCCTTGACCGGAATCAAACCTGGAACCTTTCAGTCCACAGGCCAACGCTCTTTCCCCTGAGCCAAACTGGTTAGGGCTGTACAGCCATTTTTATATGCATTCTTCTCCAATAGGGATACCTATTTTGTTTTATTTTATGTTGTTCCTAGGAAAATCTCAATATAGCTGAGCCAAGAGATAATTTTTAAAAACATTATTTTAACATTTTTATTGAAGTCAACACCCATGCAGAAAACTGCAGAAAACATACATGTGTGGCTTAACAACTTTTTTAAAAAAATTGAATTTATTGAGGTGACATTGCTTAATAGGATCATATAGGTTTCAGGTGTGGATTTCTGTTACACGATCTGTATATTGCACTGTGTGCCCGCTACCCAAAGTCAAATCATGCACCATCATCATATATTAGGCTCCCTTCACCCCACCCCACACCCTTTGATCTGGCAACCACTGCACTGCTGTTTGTGTTCATGAGTTTCAGATTTATATCCCACATATGAGTGAAATCATATGGTTGTTAGTTCTTCTGCCTGACTTATTTCACTTAGCACAATATTCTCAAGATTCATGCATGTCATCACAAATGGCAGTATTTCATTTTTTTATGGCTGAGTAGTGTTCCATTGTGTATATGTACCAGATCTTCTTTATTCAATCCTCGATCACAGGACACATTGGCTATCTCTATGATTTGCCTACGGTGAGTAACGTTGCAATAATATAGGGATGCATACATGTTTTCGAGTTTTTTGGGTATATACCTAGGAGAAGGATTGCTGGGTCATATGGCAGCTCTGGTCTTAATTTTTTGAGGAACTGCCATACTGTTTTCCATAGTGTCTGTACCAGTATACATTCCCACCAGCAGTGAATGAGGTTTCCCTTTCTCCACAACCTCTCCAGCACTTGTTATTAATTATCTTGTTGGTAATAGCCATTCTAAAAGGTGTGAGGTGACATCTCATTGTAATTTTGATTTGCATTTCTCTAATTGCTAGTGAAGTTGAACATATTTTCATATATCGTTGGCTGTTTGTATGTTTTCTTGGAAGAGGTGTCCGTTCAGATCCCCTGCCCATTTATTAATTGGGTTGTTTTTTTTGTTTGGTGTTGAGTTTTATGAGTGTTTTTTTTAATATATCTTAGATATTAAAACTTTGTTGGAGTTATTGTTTGCAAATATCTCCCATTTGGTTGGCTACCTCTTTGTTTTGTTTTTTTTGTTTTGTTTTGTTTTGTTTTTTTTTCCTGTGCAGAAGCTTTTTAGTTTAACGTAGTCCCATTCATTTATTTTTACATTTACTTCATAGCCTTTGGGGTCAAGTTCATAAAATGTTCTCTATGACCACGGTCCATAAGTTTGATACCTATGTTTTCTTCTATGTAACTTATTGGTTCAGATCTTATATTTAGGTATGTGATCCATTTTAAATTAATTTTTGAACATGGGGACAAACTATAATCCAGTTTCATTCTTTTGCATGTGACGTCCAGTTTTCCCAGACCATTTATTGAAGAGAGCAATGCATTAATTATTACAAATATATTTATTTGAAAGTAATTTTTGCAATGACTCACTCATATTCATTGAAAGGTTTCAATAATAAAGTGATATAGTCATTTAAGTTTTGATAACATCTGCTGAAAAAAAACTTCAGTTTCTGATAGTTTCTTGATCATAGGATCAGATCAGTAGTTACTATTTAAGCTTTTGAACTTGTTTCTTGTCATCAAATCATATGACCAAATTTACACGGTGTTTGTTTCAGTATTCAGTAACTCTTTATCATGTTTACTGTTTATAATGTTAACTTGATGAATAGATATAGGCACTGGTGTGTATTTTATTTGATTGTTCATAATGTGTAATTGTTTTCATAAATTTATTTATAATTATTTCTTTTAGTTGTGGAAATCTGAGTTACTTTTGAACTTTCAAGTATAGTTTATATATATGAAATTTGTAGCAAATAAATGAATTTAGTAATTTTTTTAAATTTTCTTCTTCTTTAGGGATTACCATCATTGCATCTGGTAAGTCTGACTCCTTGACAGTTCAAAGAAATTGTCATCACTGTAGGTACCGATGTTTCTGGAAGAGAATATTGTGTTATAACTGTCTTAGATATACTGTTAAAAGGCTGTGTTCATGGATGCCAAACAGAAAACAGGTAAATGTATTTCGTGATTATGTTTTGCGGACACCATTAAGTGTTTGGTATGTTTCTAAGTACTATTCCCAACCATGTTCTTGTTCCAAAGTAATATTAAGAAAACTTCAAATCATTGGGCCACGCAATCAAGTATTATTATATGCCTATTGTTTTAATTCTAGGGGCCGAAGAATGACAAGAAAAGATAGTTATTAATACAGGTTCTATCCTCAAGTATTTTACAATTAATCAGAGATGACTTCTTGTTTTTTTTAATCTTTATTGTTGAAAGTATTACGTATGTCCCCTTTCCCCTCCACTGACTCCTTCAAGAAATTACTTCTTGACCATTTCTAGATTTCTGTCTTACCCTTAAATAAAACAAAGAGTGCTACCTTTGATTATATGTTCTTCCTTTTCCCTTCTCTATGAGTGATTGAAAGCAAAATTATTTTTTAAAAAAATATTCTGTTGCTTTAGTCATGAGGCCAAAAACAACTGTGTTGCAATTTATTTTTGCATTGGTCCAGTCCTTTATTTTATCCATAAATATATTATTTAATGTTATATATTAACAATAAGATTAATAAACTTCCAAAGATACTAAGAGAAATGTTTAAGAAGCAATAGTTAAATTTGCATACTGATAAGTAACATTCAATAGAAAATACACTCTTATAAAAAAGTGTATATTTTAAAATTATGTCCTAATAATCTGGAGTCTTCTGTCTTATGTATGTATGAATTAGCCAAGGGGACTATAAAGCTGAAAACAGGTATTGTGAAATTGTTTTTAAAAAAATTATTTATGACAGTTCTTTTATATTTTGAATAAATGTCTCCTAAAGTTTAAAACTAAAAGATTTGTTTTAAAAGATTCTGTTAGAATTCAATTTGTTCATTTTATATTTTAAATAAAAATAAAATGTATTATAAATGAATATTTCATGATTTCATGTTGACAACAGTGATATGTTTAATAGATGAGGTATTTTTCACCTGCTCACTATTGTTCAATAAAGATTTGAAATGCTTATTATTTTCTCTTGAAATTCTTAAAATATATATTATGTGATTTTCCAGAAAGCTTTTTTTAGAGTTAGTTGTAATTCTAAATTATCCTCAAAAATAAAGAGGAATTTCTTCTCTTTTAAATCAGACATATAGTAATATTTTTATTTGTGATTCTATACTTGTAAAATATAGACCTGAAAATTCTTTTTTATTAGAGTGGCATTTTTTTTAAATCACTGTTTTCTTATTTTTCAATTGCAGTTGACATATAATATTATATTAGTTTCAGGTATACAACCAGTAATTAGATATTATATAACTTACTAAGTTATCACCTTGATAAATCTAGTACTCGTCTGACAACATGCATAGTTATTACAATATTATTGACTTTACTGACTATTCTGTAACTACCAATTTATACTATTCAATCACTTCACCTTTTTATCCATTTCTCCAAACCCTCCCCCTCCCATCTAGCAACTATCAAAATGTTCTCTGTATCTATGAGTCTGTTTCTCTTCTGCTTGTTCATTTGTTTAGTTGGGTTTTTTTTAGATTCTATATATAAGTGAAATCATATGGCATTCATCTTCATTTGATTTATTTCACTCAGCACAATGGCAAGATTTCATTCTTTTATATGGCTAAGTCATATCCCACTTCTTTAGTTATTCATCTATTGATGGACACTTAGTTTGCTTACACATCTTGGCTATTGTAAATAATGCTTTAATGAACACAGGGATGTATATGTCTTCTTCATTTAGTATTTTGGGTTTCTTTGGATAAATATCCAGACATGGAATTACTGGGTCTTTCTTTGTTTTTTTTTGTTATATAGCCTATGTTTTAAAATCTATTTTGCCTAATATAATTATTGCTACCCCAGATTTTTTGTTTGTTTCCATTTTTATAAAATATTTTTTCTATCCCTTTACTTTCAGTCTGTCTGCATCATAAGGATCTTGTTTTGTTATTCATTCAGTATTCATATGTCTTTTATTGGAGCATTTAAACCATTTGCATTTAAAGTAATTGTTGATAGATATGTATTTATTGCCATTTTAGTCTTTATATTTTTATCTTTTTTCTTCTTAAAGAAAACCCTTTAAGATTTCTTGTAATATGGGTTTGGTGGTGGGGAACTCCTTTAGCTTGTTCTTGTTTGGGAAACTCATTATATATCCTTCAATTCTAAATGGTTACTTTACTGGGTAGCGTAATCTTATCAGTAGGTCCTTGCTTTTCATCACTTAGAATATTTCTTGCCAATATCTTTTGGCCTTAAAGTTTCTGTTGAGTAATCAGCTGACAGTATCATAGGAGTGACCTTGTAGATAACTAACTGCTTTTCTCTTGCTGCTTTTAAGATTCTCTCTTTGTCCCTAACCTTTTGCATTTTATAGCTGTACTAGAGGCTCAGTGCACGAGATTTGTGCACTGGTGTGTGTGTGTTGCAGGGGGTGTCCCCTCAACCCAGCCTGTGTTCTCTCAGGAACCCTTGGGGGATGTCCACCTGTTGGCTTAGACCCGCTCCCCCAAGGAGTCCTTAGCACTGCCGTGGAGGCAGGAGAGGCTTCCACCATTACCACTGCGCTCACCAGCCGTGAGCCCGGCTTCTGGCTGAGCAGAGCTCCCCCTGTGGGAGTGCACTGACCACCAAGGGACAGCTCCTGCATTAAGCATTCACCCCCTGGTGGTCAGTGCACATCATAGTGACTGGTTGTTCTGCCATTCAGTCGATTGCATATTAGGGTTTTATTATATAGGATAATATTCCATTGTGTAAATGTACCACAGCTTTTTTATCCACTCATCTACTTATGGGCACTTGAGTTGTTTCCAGATATTAGCTATTGTAAGTAGTGCTGTTATGAACATAGGTGTATATATATTCTTTCGGATTGGTGTTTCTGGTTTCATAGGCTATATTCCTAGGAGTGGGATCACTGGGTCAAAGTAGAGTTCCATTGTTAATTTTTGGAGAAAACTCCATACTGTTTTCCGCAGTGGCTGCACCAGTCTGCATTCCCACCAGCAGTGTACTAGGGTTCCCTTTTTATTGTGTCTTTACGCCTTTCTACGCATGACAAACTTAAATCCCATTATAAAGTGACTTCAATTATCTACTTGTTATTCAAACTTAAGAAGTCAGATAGTCATATAACTTTTCAGTGATCTTTTTGGTCTGGAAAGGAAAGTGTGTGGATTTTTCTTAACATTTTTAAAGAAGTACAGAGGCACAGAAAATCCAGTGATAATAGCAAGATGTTGCTGAGTAAGGTGTGTTGAAACCTGACTTATAAATCTGAAAATTTAAGGTTTACTGAAGCATATTCTTTTCTCTTCTGCAAAAGTCTCTTTCCAGTATGACTTCACTTTTCCACAATTTCAGTCCCTTTATTCTGTTACATTAAATGAGATTAAAAGCAAGAACTGAATCTATCTACAACTTTCTTATATTTTAGAGCATAAGGAATACATTTCTACTTTATTAGATGTAAGTTGGACCTTTTGAAGTGACTGGGTGAACCCATATTTCTTCAGAAAAGGAGACTAGTATCATTTCATTAACACAAGATCTTGTAGGTAGAATTCTGATTTGGATTTTTCAAAACTAAAGATGATACTCTGTATATTGCTTCCATTTGTTCATCTGCAAAAAAATAATGTCATTTTATACAATTTAATAAATATTTATAAGCACTTTCTACTCTTTTCCAAGCGCTGTGCTAGTTATTGGAGCTGATCAAATGAGGTAACAGGTGGCAAACTGCTTTGCAACATTTTAAACAGTGTAAAAATATTTCTACTTCCAGGGACATTACTGAAACACTACCTTTTCTTGGAGAAAGTCATTTTTAAAGTTAGGTAATTTTTCTACCTCAGAGCTCTTCAATTAATGACTAGGAACACTGGAATCACAATCATAATTTTATTAATAATCCATAGTTTCATTTATCCCAAGTTGCATAAATATTAAATTGATTCAGATTCACCTTTGGGATAGTTTTCTGTAGGTACCAAGCAGATTTTAACATCATAAATTATTGACATTATACTTAAATTTTTTTCCTTCTTTCTAATTTGTGAGATAATACTCCATTGTCAATTTATGAAGCAATCATTTATGTAGATTTGTTTCTCAAACCTCTGTATTTTGCTCTGGTTTTTTGTTAAGCCATCAACCTTCACATAATTTCTTCAAGAATTACATATATGTACTAATTCGAGTTCTAGAAATAGGCTTTTACTTCCATCATCTAGCTATTTTGGATCACTCTTAAATTTCTATATTCATTTATCATTCAAATTGAAAATGGAGGTTTTTGCTACATTTGAAAATAATGGGGTTAATGAAATGCGGTGAAGGGGGGGAAAAACCCTCAAAAAATGTTGAGGAGCCATGATGTATTTTATGAAAATGATATAGTGCTAGGGCATAAGTTAAAGAAATTGACTGAGTAAAGTACTATACAAACTTACCTGTGCTGGAAATAGCTGTTGTTTCTTTTGTCTTGTTTGTTTTTTAAATAATTTGTCCACATGGCAGTGCAATTGTCTGATATCTATATATAGTTGATGTGGAACCAGATACACTCATTAGATACATTAGCTTCAGTTTGCTTTTCTAGTATCATCTCTACTTTCCTTTGTAGTACAGGTCAGAAGAGTAGAGTTCAAGGACATTGGAGGGTGGAGTGGGGAGGAAATGCATATATGAAAGATCAATGGTCAAATCATTTAAGTTAAGCATGATGGGGTTAAAATACTTATAATCTCAAACCTATCAAACTAATTTTATTTCATCATTATAATACTTTATTTTTAATACTTTATTTCTTTTTTCTTTGAAAGAAAACAGAGCAAAGGGTAAATAATACGCAATTTTTACTCTCAAATTTGTAACATATAGAAGTCATATGCCAAACCATAATTTCTGTCTTCTATATTTTCTTTAATTTGCCTCATAATATCCTTATGAAATTACACTGTATATATAATTGCTTATGTGTCTATTAACTGTGTTACCATATTTTTCCCCTCTCAAGGACTTACTGTTGGTGCAATAATTATTGCTATCATAAGTCTAACCAAAATTTTCGGGGACTATGGAAGATCAGGGTGAGCAGAAATTCTGATGGCTTAAAACATTTGCTCTTAGCTTCTTTCCGGTAAAACTTGATATTTTATCATGAATAGATAATTTTCCTCACTTAATTGTCTTTTTAGACATGCTATCTCTTTATCCCTTTTGTCTAGAATCCCTAACTTACATAAGCAGACTTCGTGTCTTTTTTAAAAATGTCTCAATATATTGAAAAACATTAACAACATTTCAAAGGAAAATGGTTTGAAAGCCAAAGTCTCACTTTGCAGTCTATTAATCAATTTACCCTTAGTATAATTTATGGTAGCATATGTGTGTTGCACAAAACCAAAGAAATCTAGGGGCGAAAAAGCCAACCTCTAACATATTGTTAAATTGCCTGTAATTAGGCCTGTCTTTGAGTTGCATTTATTGATGCATGCCAGTCTAGCCAAAGAGGACAGGCTCTGGCATCTGACTGCGTGGTTCCATGCTGTGTGTCTGCTGTTCATGTGCCGTGTCACTGTAAGCAACTTAACCTCTCCGTGCCTCAGTTTTCTCATCTGTAAAATGGAAGAAATAGAAAACATACCTTATGGGATTGTAGTAAGGATCAAATGAGTTTCCACCTGTAAAGAAGTTAACCATCACTTGGCATATAGGAGGCTTTCAGATGGTACAATAGTAACACATAGGGGAAAAAACAGTCTGATTTGAAACATCTGATTTGCCTTGAACATTCATATATTAAGTCTATTGCCATGGTTGGCTCTGGCATTTTCTGCAGACAAACAGAAGATTACTTAAATTGACCCTCTTCTGGCCCTCTGGGCAGAGGAAACAGCATGCACAAAGGCATGTCTGAGAAACAGAAGGCTTTTATCTCATTCATCCTTATAAACACGCATGACACCTTAAAAACATAAAAA